ACTTGAACATCCCCGCGGTCGCGTGCGCATATCCCGCGGAACTGCGCGTCTCATCCGCGCGCAGCGCTTAGGATCAACAGCAAAGCTGTGCCACGCAATCTTGTATCATGTCTCTCTGGATTTGCGGGAAAAGATATAAATAATAATGAAAGTAGACTGGCATAGACTGTAACCTGTAGGCTGTATGATACAGGCGGTATGTTTCGCTTCACTACACCATCTACCGTGATGTGTGAAGTGTGGTGAAGTGTAGAAGGTGAAGTGTAGTGAAGCGGAACCGGAACCGCCTGTATCATACAGGTTAGCATAGACTGCAAAACCTTAAGAATTGAACTAGCACTGTTCATCGACTTTAACAATACCAATAATGCTACGACAGGCGTACTTAAGCCAAGATCGCGATTTCTATGCCTGCTATGGAGATGGTACGAAGTCAAACCTTCTGCACGCAGTTTGCGCCCGGGTAGTGGTGGTATAGACGGGCACCATGTCTCTCCGTTTGACTAATAGTTTGCTTTCTTTAGCTAAGTGAAGAGACGGATCCAATCTATGCCGCTGTCCACGCACTTTATTACCGGGAGATGTCGCCTGTGTCCCGTGGAACGCCAGCGCCGTCTTTTGGTGAAATTTATTTTACAAGCCGCAGCAAGACAAAATGGCGAATCATTATGATGGTCAACCTTCGAAACGACTGAAAACCGACTTTGTTGGCGGTGTTGGAAATGTAAGTTTTATCTTGCACTACAAAGTTTAACCTACGTTTATTGTACATTATGTTTACTGTATATATCATTAAAGGTAACAAGGAAAAATAGTTTTATTTCGTTGCAACTGGTCGATGCTGATAGACTCGGCGAGCAAAGCAAAGCACGCTTTGTTCTTGTCCGTTGTCGGCGTCCCTGTTCCAGCCGGGCCCGGCGAGAAAAAATTTATTTTTGTATGCTACGTGCAGCCTTATCAAAACATTTATGCAACTGTAATGCTACTCATCAGGCTTTGGTGTTACTTATGTATTATTTTGCCTAATTATCTGAACAGATGTTGCTCTAAATAGCGTACCGGTAACCTTTTTTGTTATCCCCAAAATCGGTTTCTCAGTCATATGCCCACAAACTGTTTGTGGTGGCTAAGAAATTTTGTAGACAGTATGTTTGTGATTGCTGAGCATTTGTGTTAGGCCCACAATGTGTTTATGGTGGTTAAGCATTTCTGTTGTGGTAGGATGTGTCGTAGTGATGGCCAAAGTGAAACCGACGTGGATATTCGTCCGAGCATCGGACACCTGTTCGTATGCGCTATTCATCCGAGCAGTTGTTGATGTAGCGTGCCGCAGGCGCACGGCCTCTAGTGCCGGAGATAGGAAGTGTGAAGGGGGCTATGGGGGGTTTCCCCCCAGCCTATTTTAAAATCTAGGCGCTCTAAATTTTATTATATTATATTATATTAGGCTTATATTTTGCCCTTTAGGCTTTTTGCCTTGCGTTTTGCTACGCAGCCCTACGGCTGTGACGCCCCTGCATACATGCGTTGCGTATGTGGTTATACACCATCTAGATAGTGTTTGGTACTATCATTCGCCTATATAAGCAAACCGAGTCGGTTAATAATTAGTGGTAGGTTTCGATTATGGTTAGTATTAGAGTTAGGTTAGAGTTAAATAATTAGTGGTAGGTTTAGATTGTGGTTAGTATTAGAGTTAGGTTAGAGTTAAATAATTAGTGGTAGGTTTAGATTGTGGTTAGTATTAGAGTTATGTTGGAGAGTAGGCAACTCCCTAGACTAGCATTATATTACATTTATGTAATACAACATGAACAGCGCATGCGCAGCAACTGTTCGGACGAATAGCGCATACGAACAGGTGTCCGATGCTCGGACGAATATCCACGTCCAAGTGAAGCACCTGCTCACGGTGCGAAATTAACGGGAGTCCGGAGTCAAATACTCCCTGATTTATTGTCGGACTCCCTGATTTGACATGTTATATTCTCATACTTGTCGGTGTCCACTACACTGGATATAATGACAAGGGCTATAGCTAGCCATGGGGTGTGACCTAGACTGAATAATTCTTTCCCATATAACCTTTTTTATATTTTGGTGAGGGTTATTGGGACAGAACGGGGTTCATTGAAATTTCGTGAGATTGCATGCAAAATGCATGCGCTGCTAATGAGGCCCGTACGCCGCTATTGGCGCGAAAAAAAACCTACCGTTCCCTTCTACATGGCTTTACCTTGCTACTGATATGTGTATACATTCACTTCAATCGTTATTCACTTCTTAAAAGATTATTTTCAGAAACCCCGCTTCATTTAACTTTAGTAAATTACGTTCGCTATTTACAAACAATCAGACCAATCAGAGCGAGTCTTACAATAGCCCCTGGTTCTCGCTTACAAGTATCTGTGGCGCTGCAGGAGGCCTGATAGACTCGCTCTGATTGGTCTGATTGTTTGTAAATGGCGAACGTAATTTACTAAAGTTGGCTAATGTCCAAAGAAAATTTGGCAGACGTGCAACCGCATGAATCTTCAAAATAAGCACATGCGTTATTGTAAAATATCTTTAATTTTGAACATCAGACTGCGGACTCCCTCTTTTTGAGGGTAGGGTTGGACTCCTGTGTTCAAAAGTTAATTTCTACCCCTGCCTGCTTAACGCACAACGTGTAATGGAAGGGTTTCTGCCAGGAGGGTAAAAATGGTAAAATTCCATACTCAAAAATATTTTTAGGGTATGGGTCCATACCCAAAATTATGAGTAAAATACTCGTTGGCCATCCTTGGATTTAAATTCACATCAAGTTGTCCAGGGAGTCAGATTTGGTTTCAGTCAGGCAGGTCATAATCAGCTTCATATCAGAGAAGCTTCTCTGAACGGTTGCAGTGTTAATAATATTGGAAGTGTCAATGCTAGTTGCATTAAAAAAAACAAATTAACATACATCTCTTTAGCAGTACAACGATTTTGAAGATATTATTTTGGCCTTAATTATCCAAAAAATATTCTCTGGCGAAAACCCTGAACAGGGATAAAGTTAATGGTATAATTGGCCACTTATTTGTTCAAATAATTTGTAATCTGACTTATTTCCAAAACTAGATATTGTCGTTTTTAATAGCACTGTAGATTTTTTTTTGTAAATACTATGAGGTACATTAATTGCAAATCGTAAAATAGAGGTCAGCTGGATCGTAGAATTCTGCTCGTAGAATTCTGACTGGTGCGCCACCTGTGAAAAATCGTCACGATCAATAGTTATGACGTGGGCATTGCATCAGCCCACGCTCCTTCAGTAATGTCCTAATTGAATAATATCTGGATAATCAGTATGGGTGTAGGGTGTAATAATCACACTCGCTACATGAAATGGTTGTGGTTTCTTGGCTGGTAAATACATCAGTAGTCCAATAGGGTGATAGACAGCTGCAGCCCATTAGTGTTATGCAAATATCCACACTGTCACTCCAATTAATTACCTATTACAGTGTTGATCGCCTTGAGTCACCTCAGTTATCTATAAGGTGATCTGTGAAGTCATACGTGTTCATGGTTTCTAGTCCGTTATCTTGGTTTGCAAAAACTCGACTATCAACCATATCTTGGGAGCAAGTGGTTGCTGTTATTGTTCCCAGTAAGCAATGACGATTGGTGTAAAGGTAGTGTATTTTACATTGTTCATCGATAATTTGATGAAGTTCTATTGATGCTCCCAAAATGTTTTCTCATTTTACGTTTGTGTTCTCAATAAGATTGATTGATATGCTATTCACGAGAAGTGTTTTGTAATGCGTGATAAATTTGTAGGTTTTCCTTCAAATTATACGGTTAAGTATCAATGAACCATCTAAACAATAATCTGCCGAAGGTGGCTGATGAAAACTTTCCTTAACCATACTCGACACGTGGAGATTGGTTGCTGCTAATGGCTCTCCATTTTTATTACTGTCAATTTCGAACAATTTGTGAGTCTAATATAATACTCCGCTCCCAAATAATAGTAAAATAATATTAGAATTTGACCATTTACGTGGACCGACCTTTTGTGTATGTATATCGCGATACGTATCGTAGATTCGTAACGTGACCTACGTATCGAGATATGTATCGTATCCTAACCACAGTGTATCCTTACACCTTTATGGCTTTATCCGATACTAACAACGTTCGTTCGCGATTCCGTCGTCGTTTGACGCTGTATTGTTGTTTGCAGGATGGTGGGTACGATGACCCGCACAAGACCCCGCCGTCGGTCGTGCTGCACGTGCGCGGTTTGTCCGAGCGCGCGATGGAGCAGGACCTCATGGATGCCGTGCAACACTTTGGACCCGTGACGTAAGCGGCGCTCGCGATTTCTCTCTTAGAATTAATTTCTCGCTCTTTCTGCATTTCGGATCGCAGATCTCAGTGATTTAAAACCGGCGAGGAATAAAAACAGGAGAATTTTGTGTTGTTAAGTTTGGCAGAATACTAGGTGAGTAACCGTGGATTTAGCTAACGTATATTATTCTGCTATATCACTTCTGCAATGTTGTGTTTAGGTTGGAAAACTTACCTGTGTTTAGTATTATTTTTTACAATTGTAATTTATTTTTATCAATTATTTTCCAGCCATATCCACATGATGCCAAGAAAACGTCAGGCTCTTGTGGAATTTCAAGTATGATTCAAACTATGCCTTTTTAAAAATTTGAGCAACCTTTCAAAATTAAAGCAGTCATTAGGCTATGCTGCCATGTGCTGCTCTGGCAGAATGGCTAACTCACCTGAGTTGCACCGGAAAAGGTGTTGTTACAGCGTGCTGTTTGTTTATTCACCAACAGCAGACTTGCTATGTAAAATTATTTGGAATATATATATTCTTTAAGTCAAAAGTGGACGATTTCCGTTACTTACTGTTTGTATCCTAACACCCGATCATTAATTTTATTATATCGTCTTTGTTGTTTATGTTGCATGTGTAGGATATACAGGCAGCGCGTTCCTGTGTCATGTACTGTCAAAACAATCAAATCTTTGTTGCCGGCCAACCAGCATTCTTCAACTACTCGACCAGCCAGAGAATAGAGAGGCAGCAGTAAGTACAATTTACAGTCATTGCGTGTTGGAAAGGTGATTGAATGACGTGCTCATCTCCATTTTTTGCTCAAGATGATAAAAATTAAAAATGTGAAAGCAGCAACACTTGTTGTGCTTATGTAGTTGCTGCAGTACTGAGTAGTAGTTGTTAAGAAACTCAAGTAATCGTATAACTGTCTTATCCAGTGGTGCGGATTTCGAGAAGAACAAACCAAACCAAGTGTTACTGATGACAATTCTGAACCCGGCATACCCGATCACCACAGTAAGTTCTGATTTATCTGCTTTGGTATGTTTGATGGTGCATGTGATATGTGACATATGATTGTGCACGTTAGTGCGTGTAGTATGCTGACCAATTGCATTTAATTGGTTTATACTGAATTAAAAGTTTTTGCCTATGATTTAGATTGTTATTGAATTTTACATATTTTGGGACGTTCTTTTGTGGATTCTGTGTACTGTTGTTTTTCAAAAATAAACTGCACTCAATGTCAATAAACAAGGATAATGTTTCTTAGATTACCCCCTATCTCATACTATCATTTTGTACCAAAAATTATGTTAGTTCTCGCAGCAGCAAATCATTTGTCACATGACGTCTTTGGTCATCTGTCGTGTGAGGTCACCCTAAACCATTGCTAAAGATTTTACCAACTGTATGAGTGCGCCTACCGTTGTGTGAGCTTTGTCGTTGATTTATCCAGGACGTGGTGCAGAAGATCTGCGCACAGTTCGGTGAGGTGCAGCGCATCGTTATATTCAAGAAGAACGGCGTTCAGGCGATGGTCGAGTTTGACAGCGTCGACAGCGCCACCTGTGCGATGCAGCAGCTCAACGGTGCTGACATCTACTCCGGCTGCTGCACGATTAAGATTGAGTTCGCTAAGGTGAGCCATCTGGTGGCAGTGGCGGCCGCGCACAACGATCCCTGCGACTAACCATGTGGGTGGTCGGCCTTACTTTAAAGGTGCCCTGCCTCGAAGTTTCAAGCGGCAAACATAAAATCAGGCAAAAATGAATTATTTTAACATTGCACGTTTTTACCTTCCTATATATGTGTGATAGGTAAAAAAAATATTTCAAAAAAAGGAATACGTTCATTCAAAGCTTTTAGACTACAAAGTGAAAGTGTCGGATTGAATGTTTCAAACAGCGTTTACTTTTGGCGCACAGCGGCGATGTTGTGACGCGTCTCTTGTTGCCATGCGGTGTTGCCAAGCGCTGAAGGTCATGAAGGCTGCATGTGCTCATAGATATCATATAACACGTGTTATATCAGGGTGCGAAATTAACGGTCCGGAGTCAAATACTCCCTGATTTACTGTTGGACTCTCTGATTTGACATATGCAGGAGTCCGTGTGACTCCCTGAAAATTCTGCCATACTAACTAGTTCGTTCCAGAGCACAGCCTCGTGGAATTACCGTATTTTTTCAGCAAATGTCCAAAGAAAATTTGGCAGACGTGCAACCGCATGAATCTTAAAAAATAAGCACATGCGTTATTGTTAATATCTTTAATTTTGAACTTCAGACTGCAGACTCCCTCATTTTGCCGCAGATTCTCTCTTTTTGAGGACAGGGAGTCCCTTGCTCAAAAGTTAATTTCTACCACTGTTATATATGATATCTATAGCTGTGCTGGTTACGTGACCTGCGTCGACTCTTGCCGCCATGATACGAAATGCGTTTTTTTCGTTGTTTTTTCGTTGAGGGAATATAGGCTTGATACATATTTTACAGTTTTATTTTCAAAGCTAACGTTCAGTTAAAGTGTAGTGAGTTATTTACTTACGTTTTTACAGTGGTTTGTCACAAAAATGTGCGCGGGAATGCATCTTTCATTTACGTGTGATAAATGCGGTATTAACAAGTGCCAGCTGAGGTTTCATTCACCCGTGTGTGCACTGGGGAATCGGAACTAAAAATAATTATGCAGGTTTTGTTACTGCGCTATTTTTATCTCGTAGGTGTTGTGTAATGTCCGCACGAATTAGCATCTGGTTGCTAACTAAATTAATTTCTTTCAGCCAACCCGCCTGAATGTGTTTAAGAATGACAATGATAGTTGGGACTACACCCAGCCAAACCTTGGTAAGTCTTGTTATCTATTCATTAGTAAAATTTAATATTTTCCATCAATGAACAATCAAAATAATATGTTAAAATTTCATTTTCTTAATGGAAACTGGTGAAATTAAAGCCTTACATTGTGATATTGATTCTGTGAAAGCATTAGTATTTAATTGTAGTGCAGATTGTAACATTTTATGCTAGTGTTGTAAACATGAAAATAACTTAACAAAGTCGTATTCAATAACACCATTACTGGAAAATCAGCATGCATGCATGCATGCACACATGTAAGTAAGTATAGGTAAAATTACATGCGTATGAAATCTCACAACAGTCGTATGCTGTAGTGTAATGGGGGAAAATCTGATAGCAAACATCCTACGATATTTCACAGCACTTCCAAAGATAGCAGCATTTTCCTACATGATGCTCACCTCCTATGTTACGACTACATGCACATGTTTGAGTAACATTTGATATAGTTTGCATTTTTCAGGTGAAGGTTTGCTTGCAAAAGCTGCAATATTATAAACAGCAACATGGCTCACTGAAATGTATTATACAGTTCATTTGTAGATGTGACACATTGGCCGAGGCCCACGTTGAGTTACGTTGGCAGTATTCAGGCTAGTTTAAAATAAGAATGATCAGGAGGTATTAGATGTGTATACTGCTGCACACAGTAACACATCAATTTCAGATATTTGCAGACCCATATGATTTCTTTGTACTGTATGTAGAGAGTTTTCTGAATGACAAGACTACAGGGTAAAAAGCAAAGAATTGGCAGAGATTAAATATATATATATATGTATACACCTCACATCTCCACCCTTACATGTCCACACATGTACCTGAATTCTTACGAAGTTTATACAGCTACAAAAGTTTTAATTTGCATGGAATTCTTAAGTGAGTCGTAAGGGATTCATACACCAAGTGGGATGTATTGCCAAAATAATAATGTCATTCAAAAAACTTAAATGCTAAAATTAATTACATTCATCATGTTACAGTCTGCAATAAGGAAATCAATATTGAAAGTTATTTTAAAGTCTACCTGGAGCTGTAGTGGGATTCCATATTCAACATTTATTTATATGCATGAACACATTGCACAAACTATCTTCTGCCTATTGCTAGGTGCAAACTAGCTATATCCTCTGGAAATTATGACATTATATATGAACTCCTACAACAGCTGTTATATACAAGGCGGGTCAGATTCCTTGTAGACTTTAAATTGCTTTCATATTACACAAAAGGGAAAAATATTCAGTGATTTGAAGTTATGTGCAGTTACATGATGCATGTACATGATACAATTACAATGATGAATGTTCATGATACAGCTATATTTGTAACACATGATGGAAACTGTACTCATGCATCTTGCAGAGTCAGTCATCCTATCTATATGTAACTTGTGATGTCTTGCATTTTTTCTCCAGTATTACTCGATTGGGTACAACCTAACATTTTTCCTGTTTACTCATGCATTTTAAAATCGAAAAGTAATCATGAAATTTATTCAGATTGCAGTGGAATCGCTATTACTAATAAATATATTTATATATATAAATATATATAATATATATATATATATATACGTCTATCATACAATTTCATTACTGTACACGTGTATATAAGACATGAGACTAGGATAATCTTTTCTATACTGTGAAACAGACGTTGTTACTTATATAACTTTTGCAAGTTGAAATAATGCACTGGAAGGTTTGCATCGCAATATGCTCGGAACACGATCTACATGAAAGTCAAACAGCCAAACCAGGTAGGTGGCTTGGAACAGGGACAGACACCAAACAACTGCAGATGTCCAACCAGAATGTGACAACAGGAGATACAGATATGCACATCAACGTTACATGTATGTACGCACGACGCAACAAGCTCACGGATTTCCACACTTGTTCAGTGCTGACACACATACACACAGCTAGGATGGCTTCTCTATGGCTTGATCTCCCATCGTTTTCCCCTCGCTGGGTAATCTAAAAGCACACACAGAAATCATGTGACAGTTATTGTTAAGGAAAGGCTGCAGTGTACCCACCTGCAGTTTTACGCAGGTTTGAGGATGACACAGGGCCATTTTTCAATAGCATGCGTGTACATATGATTGTAGAATTGGCCTCGAATCGACCAAAATTCACCCTGCTTTATAGACGTTCATGAGACAAGTTACCAGGACATCACGAATAACACCTACGTATGTACGATGCACATGCTACAACGTTGCAAATTTTTGGCGCATTGTCAAAAAACAATAACAATAAAACAATGTGAAAGAATGCTGAAAACCCACACATTGAAAAAAATGCAGAGTGATGGAGCAAAACCCCAGATACGGATTCCACACTAGTAGCTCGCAAACACGAGCCTGTCAGATGAACAGCAACTGCTGAACAAAAAACAAGCAGGAGCTATTTAACACTGAATACTACCGGCACGTGTTCAGAACAGCAGTGCAGGCGCGACATGCCGCCACACACGAGAGCAGCAGAAACACGGAAAAGCGACACGGAAACAACCACAACAACAACCACATCGAAGACAGTCGCACACCACACGCCGCGCGACGTTGTCGTCATCGTCGCCGCGGTAACGTGAAACTGCTCTGTGGTTGTTTAGGCTCGTCACGGGGACGCCGCTGCCGCTGCCGTTGCCGGTCGGACTGGCGCTGCGCCGCCGTAGGTATAGAGCCGCGGACTCGCGCGACGGACGCTGCCGTCGCCGCTGCATCCTCCCGCCGCACGTCACCAGCGTAAGACTGTTTGTTGCCGTGTGTGGAGTGTATTGGAGTCGTTAGCGAGCGGTGGACGGTCGCAGGGATGGCGACCGGGTCGGCGCGCGATGCGCCGCGAGACCGAGGGACCGCGCGCAACGAGCGCGGATGGTAGAGGTAACGAGAAGGTGGGAAGTGCGGGTCGTTGTTGGCAGGGGAAGGTTTCCGTGTTGGGCCCTTCCCTCGGACGCTGAAACCGAACGATGTGATGTCTACGATGTGGGTCTGCTTGTTCGGGCGGGGGCGCTCATCGTTTGCTCGCCTTAAATTTACCTATCCGCCTGTGCGAGACATCCACACCTCGACTGTTGTCATCGGGTTGGTCGAGATGGCCGGTTTGTACTTGTTTTTTCGAGAACGCTCGTCGAATTGCCGACTTTGCGGTAATTCGTTGCTAATCATTGTATTCAGAATGTCTCGTCACAACGGTTATTGGATAGAGTTGTCTATCAGTCGTGTCAAGCGGATAGGTCAGTTTTCGTGGGTGGGTATTCGAGTGGCGTTTTGTATGTAGCTGTCTCTATTTATTATTATCTTCATTTTTGTTTACGTCAGGGTTATGATCTCTTGCTTGCGATAATGCGACGGTAATTCAACACGATAGTCGTCAAAATTATGCTAACTGGAATTGGTTGTAAAATAATTGACTTCATGTAAAACTTGTGCATTTTGCGTGGTGGCCTGGTGATTTTTGGTGGTGCAAGTGAAATTTGATATCATGTGACTGCATTATAGGTTCTGCGGAATAAGTTCGTTTACTTTTATTGCGTGTATTGATAGTGCCTTGTTGTTGTGTGGTCGCAAATATGTGTGAGCTTGCTTTACAGAAAGTGCAACGCTAAGGAGACACTGAATCGTGCATATGTGTGAATGAGGTGAAGTTAACCAGCTGGCATTTGTGTGAGAATTATTCTGATGCTCGATTTATTATAGCAATTTTTCCATTACAGGCAAGTACGGGCAGCAGGTCTCTGAGACACCGGCGCCACCTAGACGTGCCCCACTTCTCCAGGAGCCACCGCAAGGTGGACGTAAGTGTAGCTATATACTACTTTATACATTGATTACATTACTTCGATCCACTGAATTGTCTAAGATGTAATGTTTTTGGGGGTATAGCTTGATTGTAGCCAAAAAACAAATAGCTATTCTAGTATACTTTATAATCTTATAGTTTGTAAACATTAATTCTGGTTGTATATTAATAAACTTGGGAGGTGGCAAAATATGAAAATTATATTTTATGTTTCACCGGCGTGCATACTGATCTCTCCTCGTACACCCTTTGACCAGTTGACCTAGCCTCGTGCAATTGCCGAACCCTCTACACATACGGACTTCTCGCTCATGCACTGACCTCTTGTTGCATGCACTGGCCCATTCCCTCAATCTCTTATCCCTCCCGTACCGCTCATTCCACGCACACACTGGCCACTCCCTGCTCTAGATCTGCTGCAGGCATCTGATGCACGTACTGGTCCATCTTCGCATTCACTTATCTGTCCACGCACGCAGTGACTCTTCCCTGCTCTGCCGCAGACATCTGATGCACGTACTGGTCCATCCTGGCACCCACCTACCTCTCCACGCATACACTGACCTCACCCTGCTCTCCCGCAGGCATGCGAGACGATCGCCGCGGACCGATGGCGCCCTACGACGACTACGGTGGCGACGGCGGCGGCTATGGCGGCATCCCCGGCGGTCCCCCAGGCAGGCGTCCCGGATTTGGGCCAGTCCCGGATCGCGGCTACGGCCCACCGGTTGACAGGTACGGCCCGGGACCCGACCGCGGAAGCCACGGAGGAGACGGATACGGCCCACCGTCTGGTCATGTTGACCGGTACGATACGCTTTCGCACCGACTCACTGGTGCACACCGGTTGTTGTCGGCCAGTGAAGGCGGCTAAAAGAAGCGGTCAAGCGAGCGTGCGGTGGGGGGGGGGGGCTTCACGTCCCGTATTGGTTTATTGTCGTAGCCGTATCTGTGATCGACGTTTGTTGCATCGGGCGACGTTGTCTCGGGTCGCGGCTTCGAGCGGAGACGCGGCGCGTGACGAGTTTTTGCGTAGTTGGTAGATGGGTGGTGACGCGTGTTGCTACGACGCAGGTACAGCAATCCCGCTCAAGGAATCGGTGGTTCGCCCCAGGGAGCCGTCGTCATGGTTTACGGACTCAACCCGGATAAGGTCAACTGCGACAGACTGTTCAACGTCTTCTGTCTCTACGGCAACGTCCTGCGGGTGAGTGAAGCGCACCCGTCCCGCCCCGTCAACAAATTTCCATCTAGACGGTCCCTCAGTGGTTGACGGTAGCTGTTTGTGTGCTGAACACATTGCGTTCCGTTACATTCATCTTATATCTACGTCAAGTCTATTCTATTTCAATTCTCAGGCATATTTTAGCGAAAGTTTAGCATATGTTTTTGATTCGGTACCTTGATAATTTTTTAACATTTCCTTATAAATTAATTTGCAGGTCGTATTTTGATTTCAGTGATCATAGTTTCCAGTGCCATTTAGCGCGGAAGAATTTACGCAGCCTGTGTGTCTGGAGGCCGGGGGGACTAATACATGAATACATGAATACTAATACTGAAATCTTTGCTGTCCAGCAACACTTGTGGTGACTGTAATTATTTTGACGTAGACTAAGTTCCTGAAGTCTAAGCCGGGAGTGGCGATGATCCAGATGGGAGATGCGACAGCAGTGGAGAGGGCCATCCATCACCTCAACAACACCTACTACTTTGACAACAAAATGCAGATTGGGTAAGCCTAGATCAGGGGTAGAAATTAACTTTTGAACAAGCGAGTCCAACTCCCTACCCTCAAAAAGAGGGAGTCCGCAGCAAAATGAGGGAGTCCGCAGTCTGAAGTTCAAACCAAAAGGATATTTGCGGTGCACGTCTGCCAAATTTTCTTGGGACATTTGCTATATATATATTTAAAAAAATGGTAATTCTGCGACGCCGTGCTCTGGAACGAACCTAGTTAGTATAGCAGAATTTTTGGGGAGTTACACGGACTCCTGTATATGTCAAATCAGGGAGTCCGACAGTAAATCAGGGAGTATTTGACTCCGGACTCCCGTTAATTTCGCACCCTGCTAGATGATTTAGAAGGGTGGAAGTGGTACCGAACATGCTTCTAGAGTAGTAATTCAACTATAGATGGGGTTCACTTTGAGTTTTTGTATTCTTGATATTGGATCATATCAAGAGCATATAAAGGAGAGAGCGTACAAAGGTGAAATGCTGAAACCATGTTGCAGTATTAGTCTAATTAAGATACTTTGCTCATTTTATTTTGACGATTCTTTGCGGTATTATTGATCAGCTGTTCTACCTTGCTAATATAAAAGAAACCGCTTGTCCCTACGATGCCCCTACACTGAGATAATGAGCGATTAAAATCTGTAATTTTTTGCCGAAAACCGACTTGAGATCCCTGTTTACTGCGGCCCTCTCTCGCTTTGTGGCCAGTGTGTTGCTTCCGGTCGCCGCTGTGTAGCGCCATGGTAGCGCTGACTCATTACGTCAGTACTACAGAGTTTACTACATCCAGCGTGAGGTGGGCACATGTGGGGGTTATCACTATGGCAATCAATAACAGACGTCATTCATTCCATTTGTCAATCATTGACGGCAACACGCGCGGTTTCCCGAAGTTATCTCAAAACGAGAGACAGTCGCAGTCAGCAGGTATCTCGAGTTGGTTTTCGGCAAATATACCAGATTTATCTCAGCGTAGGGGCATCCTATGGACATGCGGTTTGTTTTATATTAACATGGTAGGACAGCTGATCAATAATACTGCAAAGAATCGTCAAAATAAAACGGGGAAAGTCTATTAATTAGACTAACACTGCAACATGGTTTCAGCATTTCACCGTTGTACGCTCTCCTTCTTAATACACTCTTGATCATATCGAAAGCTCTAGTGCGATCAGTGTGGTCATAGTGCAGGTTCATTAAAATCCTTCAAATATCATCATTTTTGCAACCGTGTGAAACGTTTGTTTGTTTTAGACGCTCGAAGCAAGCATACCTGAACGACGTACCACAGCCATACACGCTCCCAGATGGCAGCACAAGTTTCAAGGACTACATGGGAAGCCGCAACAACCGCTTCACTAGCGTAGAGCAAGCGAACAAAAATCATATCCTTTCTGTTGAAAATCTGTGGAGTGTTGGTATGGACCGGCTTTACGGGAGTACAGCGCCACTGTAGATGAATTTTGGTGTAAGATGTCACGAAGCTGATAAGTTTCTAATGTACGACTAGTTATGACTTATTGGTCATCATTCTTCTAACTTAGTAATGTTGAGAACACGCTGGGTTTAACTGGGCTGCACTCTACCTTCTCACAAGGTTAGGGTGATCACAAAGACCTGGGTTACGATTAGTGGACAGTTTCGACAGAGTAAGAGCCTGTGTTTAGTTTGAGTGAAATTTTTTTTGCGGCTCCGTTTGGCCTTTGTACCTGCGCGGGGTTATACGTCCTTAACTACTGCATCACGGATCCAATCTCCATCCAAGGTGGTGCACTTTTACAATGTGCCATTTGGCATCACAGAGGAGCAAGTGAAGAAGGTTTGTGTTAGCTTCTTATAACTAATTGATTAATTAATGAAATTAAGAGTATTATATTCCTCTGTTCTTTGTTTCGTGTTAAAAGAGTTTAGCGGCATCCAGGACTCGCACGCGGTTACTTGAGAATATGGGTTTCATGTGTGTATATAAGTTCATATCGCCGTGATGTCACAGATAATCATAATGGTTGCGGGTGAAAGAATGTTAATTCACGTAATACCATGCTGTGTGAGCAGGCTTAATACTTTGCATGTCGTGCTGCTCTAGTTGGCCGGTGAAGAAACTGGTGCGACTTCTACCGCATGCGTAATGTGCTTAGTTCCCGTTACATTAATAATTTACTTTCATAGTAACACTTAAAATAATGATGGGTTTTCGCGTCTTTTATTTAGCTGTTTGAGGAGGTTGAGGCGATTCCACCGGACAAGGTCATCGTCTTCCCCGCTAAATGTAAGTTCATAATACGTGTATCGTTGATCGACCAGTAGCTTATTGGAAGCTGGGTGTGGTCACTAGTAGGCCTGGCGATCGGCGGCTGACCTGCTGTAAACCTATGAATTGCCTGTGTTAAATAATACAACTAATGTAGCTTTCGGTGCTATATTCAGTCAATTTTTTGTCGGCTTAAATTTATTGGAATTTGTGCTGCATGCTCATTTTGCGTGGTGAAATATCAGAAATAATTAAAGAAAGAAAATATTCATATAGTCTGCATAGTGGACACGTATGTCACCATTGAAGTCTCTGGGATGTGCAGTAGGTGCAATTAGGTTTCTCGTCGAAGCCATCCTGATTCTTTCCGTGTCGGAACCATCCTGATATCGCGTGGTCATGTATTTTTTCCAGCTGAGCGCAGTGCGTCTGGCCTGGCCGAATGGGAGAGACCGGAGGGAGCATTCGAGGCTCTTGTCATCGCTAACCACATGCAGGTTCCAAATCCCAGTAAGTAGATGATGCCTCTTGTGAACCACATGCACGTCCCAGATCCCAGTAACTACACAACATGCCCTCGCATTTAATGCTGATTTGGCGTTGTTCGTGTGTGTCTTTAAGCGTGCCATGGCGTGAGCGAGAAAATGCATGGCGGCAGTGGTGGCGGCGTCACTAAAAATGAAAGTGTCAATGACACTGTAGCTTACCTTGGGCGTGATAGAAGAGGGAGGGGTGGACATATAAAGCAAGAGTATATATGGGAGAACTCCCATTATATACTCTTGATAATGATATATGCATAAGTTTTTATGCGAAAATAGATGTTTCAGATCTAAAAGTCTGAAATCTTGACGAGATATGGCGCTACGCCTAAATGATCGCCATTTTGGTTTTCGAATATCGTGCAAATAAAAACAATAAAATATTCCAGTCAAATTACTGTAACGAAGAATCTAAAACACAATATTATATTATATATATATATAGGTATATAGGTATGATTGTAGAGTTGTTGACCAGTTAGACGAAATAAACGTAATAGGACGTTGTCATCTCTCCCATAGGAGTAACAACTGTTTTAGGGCTAGCCTTACACATTCACATACCAAAATTTAACAAAATCGAATGAATTTAGATGGCCATTTTCATTTTTGCCAAAAAGTGGGCGTGGCTCGAAAGTAGGTCGACTGGCGTGCTCCAAAATTGGAAGTTCAAATCTCTTCCATAGGAGTAACAACTGTATGCAATTTGAAACATGTGGGTCGAACATTTCTTGAGTTATCGTTGACCGTAGGCAGACACTGAAATGCATAGTGAAATTTACCTAATTTGCATAATTTAAAAAAAACATTAAAACCCGTGTGATATGTTTTGGAGCCAGTCCTCATTCATTCACATACCAGAAATGAGCAAAATCCATTGAACCTGAACTTAAAAAGCCAAAAAGTGGACGTGGCTCGAATGTAGGTCGACTGGCGTGCTCCAAAATAGGATGTTCAAACCTCTCCCATAGGAGTAACAACTATATGCAATTTGAAACATGTGGGTCAAACAGTTCTTGAGTTATCGTTGACCGTAGCCAAATGTTGACGTATGACGGACGACACCCCATGGCAATAGCTCATCTTGACGATGTCAAGGCGAGGTAATCATGCTGCCGATCTCGCGTGATTGCATTTATCGCATGCTAGAGCGCAAACACTGAAGTTCTTGTTTTTGTTGCAGACGGAAAATTCCCATACACACTGAAGCTGTGTTTCTCATCGGTTCCCCGTGGATCGGACCAGAAGCACGATTAGTCCGGCTTCCAGTTTCCCGGAACCTTCGGAATCCCAGAGTCGGTAGCCCCGCTGAATCTGGAACCATATGTCTGAATATCTGGATTGTGGAATATCGACCGGACTTACTGCAGGGTTCGCACCTAACCATTGTTGGAATTTTCTCCCTTTTTCTTTTTTGATTTAACCGAACGTCTTTGTAAGTAGCAGAGCGATCTGTTGGGTTAAGTAGGTGGGCACATGTTATTTCGTCCCTAGCAGGGAATTGACAGAGCGTAATTTTGAGGATTTCTCCGAATTTGCATAGTTGGGTGTGTAGGTGTGCGAAGGTCAACGACGTTTGCAGATGGAAATATTGAGTACTTGAAGGATGTTGTACTCTCTTCTTCATTCGTATAAATGGTGTAGATAGACATAAACCCTCGACGTTCATTTTAAACGTGTTTCATGTCGTTTGTCAGCTGTAGTTTTCGATTCTGTAATGTAATTCACACAAGCCTTTAGCATTTCTAGTGAATTGCACCGAGACCTGTGGTGCATATGCACGTCAGATATCGGGATGTTTTATGTGAGTAGGTAAACTAAGTGTCACATTCCTCGTTTCACGTGTCGAGAGCAGTCGATTTTATCATTTGTGCGTTGGATCGTTTTGACCAGTTGCAAAACGAAGGCAAATTTGTCTAGAATGTGTCAGTTTTTAAGTAATTATCGTGGTAGAAAATGTGTTGTGTAATATCATCATAAGTGACCGTCTATTTGTATGTTAATCGGGATTAAGGTCAATTCAAAATGGATTTTTAATTTAACTAGGTAAGTTTAACAATTCGACCCTTTAATTGGAATTGAATGTAAAACATGCTTACAGAATTGAAAATAATAGTTGCTTTTCAATAAGATTTGTACCTAACTATTTTACTAACCGGTGGAAATAGAAATTAATTTCGTATTAAAAGTAAGGAATTGACCCTAGCCCTGATTGTAAACACAAGGAAGAGCACACAATTTGTTAGATTCACCCCCCCTCACATGCAATTATCTGCCTTAATGCCAGACCATGTCAAGATAAACTATAGCCGTATCATTTTAGATTGTAACTACCAGGAGAGTGGACTGAAACTAGCAATGTATGTGTAGACAGTAGTAGATACAACAAGGTCCATTGGTTCATAACGTTGGACCTACCTACGTACATTCTTTATGACATCCCTCAGTCTTACTCCCCGTTTTGCGCGCACACTCAGCGTTGATGTATTGTTGGGCAGTCATCGCGTATAATATTCATCTATTCGTACATTGACGACTATCACTGGTAGCTGAATATTTCAGTGTATGTAAAACGAAAGCATGTGAAAAACAAATAAAGTAATGTCGTTATTTCGTAGATTTTTGCTTGAAAGCTTCGTCGATTGCAAGATTTTTCCGAGAAAGGGAGCAGAATTTTGCAGTCGAAAGTGGGTTACAAAGCTCATGACACGGTCACGACTAATGGGTGTACATATTGTCACCCGTCCACACTTTGTAAGAGCCGGCTACGTGTGGGAGGTGCTGCTCATGACAATGTTTTCCCGTAGTTAATATATACTGTTGACATCCATGTATACTCTGCGGCGCGCAGTATTCCTTAATGTATAATTAACGAAGGAACACTGTCTAGCATTTGCACACACACGTTTACGCACGGTTTACAATTTTTTGACATTCAAGCAATTTTTTAGGCATGCATGCGTGAACATAATATATATTACTCATACATGTAGTGTACGTATGTATTATGCGTACACGTGATCTGCTAATTTACATATGCTTCGTCCCAACAGATACGCGTTACTAACAGTCGCATAATTGTTACTAACTTCTCATCTTCTTTGATCAAACGTCTTTGGACCAGTCTAAGTAAAACGGGCAACAATTTGACTTGACGTAAATGATCTATTTGACCTATAAAAAACAAGTACAATGAGCAACAATAATGTTTTCTTGATTTTTATTTCTTATTATGGAAGATTGTAATGATTACAAGAACAATGCTATAGTTTGTTGAACCTGTTCGTGTGTGCGTGCGTGCGTGCGTGTGTGCGTGCGTGCGTGTGTGCGTGTGTGCGTGCGTGGCGAGTATGTGCAAATACATTCAACGCAATTTTACTTGTGCGTTAGTAGGATCAATGTAATAAATATACCAAACGTACGTTACATACCCTTCGTACCGTACGTACGTATGATACATTGCCTTGATTTTATCATCGTACATGATTACATCACGTGACACTGATCCACCCGCGTGCATGCGTGTCGCGGATTGCGTCAATTTTCCCGAACGCACATCACAAATATTATATACCGGTCAGTCCGGTTCATTCAGTGCGTAGCTAGGATTTTATTTGTGGGGTGGGGGCGGCAATGAGCGCGTGAAGTGTGAGAATCGGGGGCGTAAATCCGTACCGAGGAGTGCGGGGTATGATCGGCGATAGCCATCACATACTAGCACGAGCACAAGCCCACAATAATTTACGCACACGCGCGCGATCGCGCACGCACGAACATACACGCACGCACACACACACACATACATACATATACACACACAAACGAACAAACAACAAACACACACACACAAACACACATACATACATACATACATACATACATACATGCACGCACATGCCAAATTTGACAACCGTACGTTTGGCACGTTCCGTAGGCATGCCAGTGCTAGGGGGGTCTGGGGGCATGCCCCCCCCCCCAGAAAATTTTGATATATTTAAGCCATTTTCCTGCAATCTGAGGCATACTGTGGGCCATA